TTGATATATTTGGGAAATATATAAGAATAATCAAGGACCTATATTGGCAGCAAACAGCGTGCATACGGAAAGAAAATGAGTTCAACAGATATATAAAAGTAGAAAGGTGTGTAAGGCAATGATGTGTCTTCTCACTGTGTTATTCAACCTATACAGCGAGGCAATTCTGAGAGAACTGTAGATCCTACAAGGATTCATCTTTGTTAGAGACAATCTTAACAAAATAAGAAATGTAGATGACACAGTGCTGATAGCAGACACGGAAAGGAAATTACAAAACCACTTACAGAAAGTATCGAAGGAGAGCGAGAAGAAAGGACTAAACATGAACTACAAGAAGGCCTAACGCATGATCATCAGTAACAAATGGGCCCGAAATGTGATTTACAGGTCAGAGACGCTAAAACCAAGCAGATGCAGAAATTTAAATATCTAAGAAGTGTTCTGACAGAATACGGTAAGTGCAACGAAGACGAATTGGGATGGCCAAAAACGTATTCCAAAACCTAGACAAAGTATTACAAGACAGGAAGATTTCGTTGGCAACAAAGAAGAGAGTATTGAACCGCGATGTGATATCTGTCCTCTTTTACGGCAGCGAATGTTGGACGGTGTCCTCAAAGATGAAGAAGAGACTCGAGGCAACGGAGATATGGTTCTACAGAAGGATGCTAAGAATACCATGGACCGAACATAAGGTCTTGAAGAGGATGCAAACAAGTAGGAAGCTTATACTTAACATCAGGAAGTGGCAGCTGAAATTTCTGGGACAGTTAATGAGAAAGGAAGTCTTGGAGAATCTAATGCTCACAGGGCGGATAGAGTGAAAGAGAGACAAGGGGAAGCAATGCGTAACGTACTTAACGGGATTAAGCAAGTAGATGTCAGAACAGGTTCCAGGAGATGGAGCAAAAGGACTAAACATATTGAGAACTACAATGGATAGGAGAAGTGGAGAACCATGATCGCCTATGTCCTGAAGAGACACGGCACATAAAAGAAAAAAAAAACTGTACTACATTAAGAAAATACTTGCTAAAAATAACTATTAAAAATCGATGAATACTTCATGGTGACAAGCAAAGGGATACATTATAGTTCGCAAATCTGTATCTGTGTCCAGGTTTATATGATATTTTATGTTATAATTACATCTTTAAAGTAGATATATCTTGTGATCAGCAGTGTACAACAAATGATGACGGTCTTCGCAAATATTCAATATTCTCTTTAGCAACCTAGGCATCTTTATCAGTTCTGTGATCTTAATAGTCTCTGGTTTTCAGATGTCTCATTCTCTCGGTGTTTTGTAAAGGTTTTGGTAAATATTCCTTAGTATTCTAATGACAAATAGAATGATATTTAGATTTAAATTTTACAATTTTGTCAGTTTTTTAACACTTTACAACTTTAAGAAAAACTTGATTCAAACAATCAACTTCCGACATTTCATTGATATTTTCCTCTTCTCTACAACAAGAGAAGCCCTCCAGAGCTGGATATGGTGATATAGATTAATCTCGAAATTCCCCAAAATTTTACTTTTGTTAATATTCAAGGACAATTTCTGATTTTGCTTATGTTATTTGCATAAAATTTACAAAAAAGCCCTGACCCCAACCTATATATTTATTTATACAGTCCTTTTGAACCAGTTAATATTTAAATTAATGATTCATCGTTTTTTATTGAAAGGTTTTCAATTCCAACACCTTCTTAAAACATAAATAATAAAGCTGACCGTAATTTTTTAATGGCAGTTTTATTATTGATCAATTAATTTCATTTAATTTTAAAACTTGTCAAACCTACAATCACTCCACCTATAAAAACGTTGTATTTTTTATTGTAGGTATTTACAAAAAGATAATACTATATATAACACGTTGGTAATTACCATAGGCATACTGAATTTCCAGTCATACTAGACAAAGAGGAGCATAAAACTTTAGAAAACAAACTCTAGCGGCACCTAATGCTTTCCCTGAAGATATTTCTCTTTCGGAATAGCTGAAATCAAAGTGATGAATTTAATGATTATTATCATTTTTATTATAATTTGACATGAGGAAACAGGGAAAAGAAAACTTGATACTCAAAGGGTATATTAAAGGCAAGACAGAAATGGGAAAGCAAAATATAACGTACCTAATGAACATGTGAAAATGCTTGGAATAAAAGGGATTAGGAAATATAGCAAAAAGACAAATTTTATTATGGGCTACAAAGAACAGGAAGTGTGGAAAAGCCATGATTGTTCACGTCCATGTCCTGAATGGACGCGTCACGTAGAAGGAAGTTTAATTGCATTAACGTTGTTTCATTTCTGACTATTAAAATACTCCAATGAAAACCACGTGAATTAAGGACTAAAATTGAAGAAAAGAATTTAAAAAATTGGAACGATTATATTGAGTCATCTGCTAAGTCTGCTCGTCGAAAATTTGGTTCACTATACCGTACAAGCCACGCCAGAATATACTTTCCATATTTATATGTCTATTATTAGTCCGTGTATCGAATATTGATGCCTCATCTGGTCTAGTGTTTCCGCTATGCATCGCTATCTATACTGATGATACGAATATTTAATCCTGTCTTAAAAGTAAGCTTGGCCATTTCGACAAGCTCAATTGGCAGCTGATCTTGTAGATGACATACAATCTCTGGTAAAATGTGGCAAGGAGTGGCTTGTTAATCAAAAGCGAAACTGCTATCTTTAACCATTTTAGCTTCCTATATCATTTAACATATAAGTCTACCATTCATCCTTGAATTTAATATTGCTGCTACATCTGTTATGGTGCTCCTACTAAATATTTAGAGATTCTTGATAAACATCAAAGAAGAATCTACAATCTGGCTTCTCGGCTTAAGTCATTTTCCCATCGCTCTAAAGCAGCTTCCCTGTGACTTTTCCATAATTAATTTCATGGTATATGTTCTGATGATCTTTCTACTATGGTAGTTCGATTTGAAGAATTTAAGCGCAGTACTAGATTGGCGGCAAGGTCTCATCATTTTACAGTTGAAATGGCCGCTAGATGTAAATTCTATGCTAACAGTTTCTTCTATCGCAATTCTGGCTCGAGGAAGTCTCTTGTGGCTTTGTGTTTTTCAGTCAACTTTGATCTTCAAAAATTTAAATACAGTGTTAATCGTTATCTTCTGTTTTCTTAATTCATGTTCTTTTATTGTTCACTCGCCTTAATATTAGTTTGTTTCTCATATTCTCTATCACACAGTAAGTTCTTAAGTTCTAGTGGCTTTATTTTTTTGATTGGTGTAAAATGATTAAAAAATTCTCCCGTCTTCAGTCTGAGATTCAATGAATGAAAAATTAGTGTATTTTCACTAAATACACTAAAATTTGTGTATTTATGCGATTGAATGCATAATTGTCTCATATTTGTCAATACATTGAACAACCATTTTCTAACGAAATTCATTAAAAAAGTAAACGCCCCTAATGCCTTCTTATCCTACAACATAAAGATTCTTTTCTTACCCAGTAACAGTAATGGTGATATTAACCTTTCCCTTATAAGGAATCATTCTGCATTCACTGACATTTTAGCCAGTGCTACTGTCGTATGAAATTTATAATCTTTCTTTTAATACAAGTTTTAAGTAAAATAAGTTTCTCAAATTCATTAACATATATTGATCTTTCCAGTATTGATGAGAGTTTCCTTCCTAAGATTTGTTTGGAGTAATGTGGGACGTCATCATCTTGTTTATGCCATTATTCTCTCTATGAGATACATATGCTTACTATTCCTTTTAACTGTTGCTACGATTGAAAGTATCAGAGTATATGGTTTCTAATACCCGTTAGGGTTCTTTGTTTGTGTCTCTCTCCGCAATGTTCGAAGAATAATGATCCCCCCTCTAAGACGCTCGAGCTTTATTACCTTGGAGATTTTTTCTAATCCTTGATCGGAGAAAGCGGTTGTATACAACTGGCAATTTAGATATTTCTGTACTATTCATATACTTGTTGCCTGTTGATTTTTGTTAGGGATCAATAATATCCCATGACTTCCAGTGTTAACGATACAGCACCCACTCTATAATGATTACATTAGTCTTGGAAGTGAAGGGAATACAAATTAGACTCAACAGAATTTTGTTGAAATCGGCAAGGAAAAAAATTGAAACACTTGAAATATTAGAAAATATGCTTTCAGCTTCCATTATATATCTTTGATTAGATTTGATTGTCTATAAACAATGGGTTACTTAATGCCGGTATCTAACTATTTTGAACACAGTTTTATGGCTTTATCTACAGATAAAATGTATCGTTGGTAATTGTGCTATAAAATTTATTGTTGGTATTTCTGCTATAAATATGTATCGTTGGTAATTTTTTTTTTATATAATAATGTATTACGGGTATTTTTGTTATAAAAATGTACATTTTCAAAATGTTTTCGGCGATCATTGTTTGCTCATAACTGGGGCCCTAATAGGTTCTACCAACCTGGGTCCGGGTAAACGTGGGAACAACGGCAGTTAAGAGGAGGTTCCACGCTCCTCGAAAACTTCAGAGGCCTTGCGGGCGGATGCAATTTAAAGTTTTACCTTTCTAGTGAGGAAGAAGATATCAGTGATGATACTTAAGACATAACTTGAAATAAGAAGAAGAAGAAGAAGAAGAAGAAGAAGAAGAAGAAGAAGAAGGAGGAGGAGGAGGAGAAGAAAGTGAGAAGAAGAGGAAGGAAATGGGAAGAAGAAGTAGAAAGTGGGAAGAAGAAGAAATTAGAAAGAAGAAAAATAGTGGGATAACGAAGAAGAAAGTGGGAGAAAGAAGATGAAGAAAGTAGAAAGGAGAAGAAGAAAAAGAAAGTGGAAATAATAAGAAGAATACAGGAAGAAGAAGAGGAAAGTGAAAAGAAGAAGGTAAGAAGAAGAAAGTGAAAAAGTTGCAAAAGAAAATGGAAGTAATAATAAGAAAATAGGAAGGGGAAGAAAAAATGAAAAGAATAATGAGAAAGTTAGAAGAATGAAGAGGAGGAGGGAAGAAGAAGAAGAAAATGGAAAAAAGAAGAAGAAGAAGAAGAAGAAGAAGAAGGAAGTGGAATAAAGAAGACGAAAATGCGAAGAAGAAGAAGAAAGTGGGAAGAAGAAAAAGAAAGTGGAAATAATATGAAGAAAGTGGGAAGAAGGAGAAGGACAAAGTGGGGAGAAGAAGGGAGTGATAGAAGAAGAAGAAGAAGAAGAAGAAGAAGAAGAAGAAGAAGAAGATGAAGAAGATGATGATGATGGTGGGATAGAAAATGATAAAGAAGAAAGTGGAAAGAAGAAGAAAAAATGGGAAGAAGAAGAAGAAAGTGGGAAGAAGAAAAAGAAAGTGGAAATAATAATAATAATACTAATAATAATAATAATAATAATAAGAAGAAGAAGAAGAAGAAGAAGAAGAATACGGAGAAGAAGAAAATGATTTGAAAATAAAAGAAGAAATACTCGGAAATGGGGAAATGAATGTAACTGCATTTACAAGCCAGGTCAGCCTGAAGGACCCATTAAACGCAGTTAGTCAGATTTTTGAAAACAGAGTGCATGGTCGGTCGTGATTTATGACAATCGGCGACGGTTTGATGGAGACTATTGAGCTATCCCGATTAACAACGCTACGTCGCTTTCTTCAGCACACATAATTTTTGCAACACTTGCAAACAGCTCGAAATATAAGGAATCCGCTCTTCACTTTCATTGCATTTTACAGAACTTGCTGTAGATTTGCGCGCTAGAAAACGTGGAAATGTAATAAGTAAAAAAGGAAAACAAAAATGAAGAAGAATTAATATGTCGTTGCTGAAAGAAGGAATGGCGAGTGTTTATGGGATTGAAATAAAATGGGTGTCACTGAAAAGAAAACAGGTGGAAGGTAAATGTAAACAATGGTTAAAGGAAAAATGGGAACATAGTAATGAGAAACGAAAAAGGAAATAATTAAAGAATATATTTTAACGAAGCTTACCTTAGTCTGGCTCAAGACAGCAGGTGTGGAGTACCCAGTGAAGATCGTATTCATTAAATTAGAGCGCTAATTATTATCCCATCGTAATAGGGCATCCAATTATTTCCTCTGACTAGACAGGCGCAAATCCAACATAATAGCGCATCAAGTAAAGATCAAAAACACCATACAGCAGCAATGATCAATTTTCTTGACAATTACAGAATGGCGAATGGCCTATTATCTACTAATTTGTTCTAAATTTATCAGGGCATCTAGTGCTCTTTGATGCAGAAACTATACATATGGCAATATTAGCCCGGTGCTTCTGTGTGTTGCAATATTTCCCGCCAGTGTCTAAAAGAAATTAATACGTGGCTGTGTGATTAGATTATTGTATTTCTGACCACTAGACCTGTACGCAAAGATCTCCATGGAAAATTGATCAAGGTGGTGACTTTCTGATTTTAACGACCTGTGAAGACGAATCCAGTTTTCGGTACCGTTGGAAAGGGTCTCAAAGTCATAACATGAATTGACCAATTTTTGTGAGTAGAATTGGGTAGACGGCACTGTTAAGTAGAAGTTAATGACTGTGGACGGACTGGCTTTCTTCAAAAGATTGATCACGCCAGAGTATGCGTTCTCTCAAAGAAACTCTCAGGCCTTCTCGTCATAGTTGCACAACAATCAACAGAGCAGGTGTCTGTAATAGCGTTTAGCTTGTCACCCTGGCAGATAGGTACGTTCGAGTAGTAGGCGGACATTATGGTCAGAATCTCTGGAGAAAACTATTTTTTGATCACTAACAGCAACAGAGAAAAAGAATCCAGAGATTAGAAAGGTTCAGAGTATTAAAAAATTGATTATCTAAATAAAAATGTGTGAATGAAATCGAAAAGAATACAAGAAAACCCAAAGAAGAAAATATATAACCTGTAATTATAAAAACCTTCGTTTGTTTGCTTACACGTGTTTCTTAGCTGTGATAAAACTTAATCATTGATACTGAATTCATTTGCGGATGACAAAGTGTCCGTGGCTCAAATCGTCACACATGTATTTAGTGTTAAAATCATTAGTTTTGGTTAAATCGAAAAAAAAGGATATCACTCTTTTTTTTCTTTAAATCGAGTTCACCACAAGCAAGACAGTAAAGCCATATATACACAAGGGTTAGTGGGCATGGAAGAATTAGTAAAGCAGAAACATTACTAAAGATGGAGAACAAAGGAAGAGTAATCATGACATAACTGAGTGACTGGCATTGCATTTAAATATTTGAAGAATAAAGTTGGTTGGAAAGCATGGAACCGAAGAGGCGTTCCACAGCCGAGAAATGAGAGAATAGAAACTGTTAGCATAGAAAATACGGTTACATCCAGCCAAGTCAACGGTAGATTAATGAGATCTAGTCTCCAGTCTAGTTCTACGATTAAATTAACAAATTCTAGGTAGCACAGAGCGGAGCTCCTCCGGACATTTAATATGAATGTATTTATAGAAAAGGCACTGGGAGGCAACTTTACAACAGTGGGAAAGTGACTCAAGCTGAAACACCAGGTCAGTACTAATAATATTCTTTGGATTTTATGAATTTGGAATACATAAATAGCAGGAACATCGGACCATATGTGGCAGCAATATTCTAAGCATGGACGAATAGTAGATTTATATATATATATAAGATAGATTCTGAATAGAAAAAAATGTCTAGCCCCACAAATCGTAATTTTATTTATCTGTGTAAATATTTATTTATTTATTTCTAGGAAAATAAGAGCTGCTTTTCTAGATTTGCAAGCGGTTAACAGAATCATGTCATTCTTGTAATAAAAATAAAGAGGTACTTAACTTGACAAAGGGGGAAGAGTAAATGTAGGAAGGAAGGGGAAGTAGTATATTGATAATAAAATGAGAAGAGAAATAAAGATAGATACAGAAAAAAAAAGAAAATGAAAGAAGAAAAAGGAAAATGAAAGAAAGAAAGAAAATGAAAGAAAGATAAAAGAAAGAAAGAGAAAGAAACAAAGAAAGAAAAATGAAAGAAAAAGAAAGAAGAAAATGAAAGAAAAAAGAAAGAGAAAATGACAGAAAATGAAAGAAAGATAAAATGAAGAAAGTGAAAGAAAGAAAGAAATGAAAGAAAACGAAAGAAAGAAAAAGAAAGAAAATAAAAGAAAATGAAAGAAAAAAGAAAGTGAGAGAAAAAATGTAAGAAAATGAAAGAAAGAAAAAAGAAGTAAATAAAGTAAGAAAATGAAAGAAAGATAAAAGAAAGGGAAAGAAAGAAAAATGAAAGAAAATGAAAGAAAGAAAAAATGAGAGAAAGAAAAAAAGAATAAAAAATGAAAGAAAATGAAAGAATGATAAAAGGGAGAAAGTGAAAGATAGAAATAAATAAATGAAAGAAAATGAAAGAAAGAAAAAGAAAAAATGAATGAAATAAAGAAAGAAAATGAAAAATGAAAGAAAGAAAGAAAAGAAGAACATATATGTATATAGACATTTTCTTAATAATAGATATTAATGAGAAAGAAACTAAAGAAAGTCAATTAAAAGAAAGGAAGAAGAAAAGAAAAATGATATATGTATAAAATATCAAGATAATAAGAGAAAGAAGAATTCGAAAGAAGGATATAATGAAAGAAAAATAAATAGAAACTACATAGGAAATGGTTCTGGTCGTAATATAAGTGAGAAAGAAAGAAAATATGCACACAAAAGGTTCATAATACGAAGAGTGCAGTGAAAAAGTCGAGAAAAATAATCAAGATTCTAAGAGAGGCTTGTCGAGAAATCAAAGAAAGAGAAAAAGAAATCAAGAAGAATGTCTGTTTCCGTTGTGGACCGAGGTTTTGAGACGGGGAAACGGGAAATATGTTGGCTTTTGGAGATGCAATGTAAAGCGGAACGAGAAGATAGATGGATTTTGGTTGGGTCAGTTGTGAAGAGCAGATACTGATCGCCTGCCGCGGGATATGGTGTTAAGACGACAGGATTCTTTAGGGAAGATAAATATGTTTCTAAATTTCAACTAATCGCTCAAATGAATCTTATGAATTGACCCACGTGCCGAGCACTCTCTTCCTCAACTAATGGGACATAATAATTTAAACACACACAACAAAACCCAGGCACAGTGTGTGTGTGCCTTGGATTTGCCATATACGCCATAAAATGGAACGCAACTTTGTTGACAGAACTGGCTCGATAAGACACTTCTGACAATTCATAATGCGTATCACGTCTTATTCGATTTAGGCTCTCGCACCATCGCCAAGTCGTTATGGCTGTTTGCTGTCCATCTTTGTGGTTTGGTGACTTGAAAAGCGAGACAGACGATAACCAACTTTTCTTATATGTCAAGACTTCTTTAATAGACGAATGGTTAGTTTATGTGCATACACCCGAACACAGACTGACAGATAGATAGATAGATAGATAGATAGATAGTAGCGATAGATTCCTCACCGTGTAATAGTTGCTAAACATTTTCACAAACGATTATGATTGTAATGAGTTCGATTTTCACACGGTGCCTTAAAATACTAAATAATACTAAATAATGTGACAGACTAGAATATATATATATATATATATATATATATATATATATATATATATAAAAGTGAACATTAAAGTCAACACTCAGAGGCAACAGGCTGTTTCATGTCAGACGCCTGTCGCTTCTGAGTTTTAACTTCAATGTTCACTTTTATATTTATATTTACATACTTTTTATTTCTGATATTGAGCACTTTATTCCATAAATATAGCACACATTTAAACTATATATATATATATATATATATATATATATATATATATATATATATATATATATATATATATTATATATATTTTTGACAGCATGTTTTCATTAAGACATGTTCCATTTAGACAAGTTTTGTCTACTTATTTCCTCTCATATCCACGGACAAGCTTCTTTTATCTTTATTAAAGGAAGAGAGAACGTTACCATATGGATGCATATTCATTTATTTGGAGTACTTTCGACATTAGAAAAATGTCATCTTCAGAGTTTATTTTTTTAAGACAAATTACTTGTGTTTTTCTCGAAATTAATATTTTTATTTCTGAAGAGAAAACATTAAACTTATGTACTGTAGGCTTTTAATATTTTATGAAGTAATCATACACGATCCCTGATATCAAGGGAGGTAACCAAGTTATTAAATTGTCTATCTATTTTTAAAACAATTATTTAGAGCTATAAATTAAAACCTAAATATTTTAAACTATCTACTGTAAACTTTTTAAAACATTTGTGCAGTATTTGTAATTAATTATATTAAGGGCTGCTTTTAATTTTTTAATATAGATAGCTTCAAGAATTTTTACTTTGTGTTTATTATTTTCATGAAAAGTATAGATGTAGTTTGAAGAAGAATTTTCTCAATTGTGAATGTGGACAGGATGCCGTTGTAATTGTTTAGAAATGTTAGATGCATCATTTAAATGAAAACTCAACCTCCGAGACAAAGTAGTTGCAGTTTGACCAACATAAATATTATTGTTTTTTCTGTTGGAGATACAATCTTCCATGGGATATTTAAATTTATATACAATGTTGGTTTTCTGCAATACGTTAATAGGTTGGGAGGAGTCCTTACGAATGATTAAATTGGATATATTGAATTTATTGTTGTATATGATTATTTTTATTTTTATTTTTTTAGTAGGATCTGTGGTGGATATATTAGTATTTTTTTAGGACATCTTCTTTCTCTTTATAATTAGAATGTATTTGATTGCGATATCAAAGCTTAATATGCTTACGATTCATTTAGAAAAATTATTATATTATATTTGGTTTATATTAAATTTTCTAATGTTCATCGACAATATATTTAGGGAAGTTATTATTAATAAGAGTTTGTTTTGGTTGTTTTTAGTTCACTGTAGAAAATCTGTTTTGTGGATGAGTTAATTTTTGCCCGCTTTTTTATAATTGTTATTTCATAGAAATTTGAACATTCACTTTTATCGTTAAGAGTGCAAGAATTTATGCTAGTAGCTTTTCTATATGAAGAGGCAGTGAATTTATTATTATTAGTGTTTATCAATATATCTAGAAAAGGATTTTTTTTTTACTATTATTAAGTTAGTATGTAAATTTAAGGACAGAATTATTTTGGAATTGTTTTTGGAGTTAATATATTTCATCCATAATCCTAAGATAAGAATATCATCGACATATCTTAGATAGATGGAGGGTTTTTAACATTTATTAAATACATTATTTTCGAGAATAGACATATAGAAATTACTAACAGTTGGGCCCAAAATGAACCCATAGAAACACCATTCCGTTTTGCATATATATTATTTTTCTGAACGTAGAATGGGACATCATTAGTGCAAGTTAACAGCAGTTTCCATAATATACTAGTTCTAAATTTAAGTGAAGGTAGAAATGGATGATTCTATATGTTTTTATGATAATATCAATAGTTTCACTAACTGGTACATTAGTAAATAGATTTTTAACATCAATGAGGCTATGGTTTCATTGTTAATTTTTCCTTTTTTTAGAATTTGCATTACTTCAAGAGTTGATTTTATGCTAAATTTACTGAAAATCTATGGTGTGATAAGTTGGTTTATGATGTTTGTTAATTGATCCACAGGAGTGGTAATTTGAGCTATAATAGGAGGAAGAGGATAGTCTAGTTTTTATAGTACCATATATGTTACCGAACCTATAATCTCCCAATATTTTTGGATGTTTAAAACTAACTTATTTAGCATTATTAACTGTGATAAACTTGTTAATTTTTAATTTCACTTGGTTAGTACAATTCCTGGTGATGTTTTAAAATTTCGTATGGTCATTATAATCGTTAAAGTTGCAAAAAAAAACAAACAAAAAAAACACAAAAGCATCTTTGTTGTTTTGAATAAATCTGATTATAATACAAAACTAGAACAAATACGTAATGAATTATTCTACGATTGTTAACTCAAGAACAAAGGCAACATTTAAAATTGCATCTGTTAACTTTGCGCGCCTGTTTTACTAATTATAGTGTAAAGGTTTCATCAGCAGATGGATAAGCCATATAGATATATATCTTACTAGCAGTCTTCGCCCGCTCGCTATCGCTTCGCAAAGTAAGATATATTCACTACTTCAAAATTTTTAAACAAAAATTTTAAATGAACATTTCATTCATAAATTTATAATTAAGTAAAGGTTTCCAAAGAGATGATAACTTACTAAAGGCCAACTAAAATGTAAATTTCAAAAACTTTTCTGCACTATATAAGACGATATTCCTAAACAGAACTATTTCTGATATGAAAATAAAAAAAAATCTTCGAATAATAGAACAGTAATGAAGGACAGTTAACTAATGAAATAAACTTTTTAAAAATCAATATGCAAATTAGTTAAACCTGAAGAGTGATATTGCTTAGATAATATATAATACTGATGTTGATTTTATACTGCGCAAATTACTGTAAATGAAAGCTAGAGTTGTTTACTTTCAGAATTTGTGGAGAATTGAACTCTAATTTCGCATTTATTCATATAGGTTTTACTTAATTAGCTGTTATGTTTCTCTAACTCTTCAAATGTTTAGTGTATAATTAATTGTAATTTCTATTTTCCCAACTTTCCACTATATTATTTTTAGCTTATAAATTGTTCCCTGTTCTGTCAACTATGAAATAAAAATACTGTCATTTTTAGTATGTAAAAATACAATAAAATACGTTTTAAAAAGTAAGGATCTACGTACATCAATCGTCTTTAAATTAAGTGGCAGCAGAAGAATTATCGTTGAACTTTTAAAAGGTAAGCTTAAACATTAATTCAATACTTAATCAGTTTTGAGTTATTCTGGAGTTTATCGATGCTTATCGCATCTACTCCTCCCTATATATTGTTATGATGGTCAAACCAAAAGTCCTCCAATGGAGCTGGCTTAAACGCCGCCCTAACGGGAGGCGTTACAGCTAGTTTATAATAAAATGTGAACTGCAATTTTAGATACAAAAGTTACTGCCCTTAAACCATAAAAGCAAAGATAATGGCTAGTATAATATATTAATATATATTTAACCTTGTTCTGAACTCAACGAATATCGTTCCCTGCACCTAACATTTCTAGGGCTTTTGAATGAGCTATGAATCATTGAAATCGGACCAGTGGGAATGGTGTTATTGCATGTACACACATACGCACATACACTGTACTTTTTTATATAACATTTTTATATCTTAACTATGATTTAATTTCTTCTTATTAAAGTTGTAACATTAGATATAACGGTCTTCGATAAAAAAAGACTGCTAAGAATATATATATATAAAATAAAACAACAACAGGGTAAATACAATAGAAATACTAATAAAAATATGTAGTATTAGCAACATTGTCAGAAGCAAATCTAGAGCTACAGACTTAAGTTCTGAGAGAATGAAGATTTGGTTAAGATATTATTGAGGACAAAATCTAGAAATCTTCAAATATTCTTGCCTGTTATTCAAAACTTAATTCTATAGAACATGATCTTCAGAATACATTGAAAGTGTTTATTGTATGAAGATAATCTTTTATTAAAATTAGTAGTTTTCTTTTATTTTTACATGTAAAATGAACAGCGTATTTTTGTAGCTAATGAAGGTTTTACATGATGAATCATGCACAATTTCATACTAGCTGTCTGTGGTAGATTGATTGCATAATCAAATTTCTTTTTATTTTGCCACTTTGGTAATATTAGAGTCAGAAGATTATATCAGAAATGAATTAATTGTAACAGTCATCATTTTAATTCTTGATTGAAATTTCTTTCATTTTAATTGTTTATTTACCTTATTTATTACAACTTTACTGCACCTCTCTGTCTGCTATACGCCATAAACAGCACTGAACTGAATTATCTGACCAAACTTAAATTCTCACCAGTTTGCTTTGGGAAACTTGTTCAACCGTACCAGCTGAATTTCTGAGTAGGTGTTTGAATCTCACCATTTTCACTTTTCCTTTCTTCCTATTTCTTCAATTCACCAGGCGCCGTGTTTGCCATCATTTTCTCGTACCCTAATAAGAATTGGTTATTCTTGTTTTTCATACATGAGGCATTGGTAACATTTATCAATTATGACCAGTATTTCTTTCTTAAGATATTATCGCGAAAAGTAGGTTAAAAAAACTAGATGTCTTATTAATAATGCTTCTAATAAAAATAATAATCATGGTACTATAATTATATTGGCCCAAATTAATCATTATTATTTGAGTAGAAATTTTTTTCGTGGTGTAATTTCTATTTTCCCAACTTTCCACTATATTATTTTTAGCTTATAAATTGTTCCCTGTTCTGTCAACTATGGAATAAAAATACTTGTTTGTACGGAAAGTAAGGATCTACGTACATCAATCGTCTTTAAATTAAGTGGCAGCAGAAGAATTATCGTTGAACTTTTAAAAGGTAAGCTTTTTTGAACTCAGATATTT